TTAATAATAATGAATAATAAAAAAACTATACTAGGAAGTGACAGTAAAGACATTTATAATGTTACAAATGATTTCTATTTCAAATAAATGCTGTTCTTTTGAACTTTCTGTTCATCTGTGAATCCTGAAAAATAACATGTACCACCGTTTCCACAAAAATATTGTGCAGCACAACTGTTTTCAACATTGATAATAATCAGAAATTATTCTTGAGCATCAAATCAGCATATTAGACTGATTTCCGAAGATCATGTGACACTGAAGACTGGAGGAATGATGCTGAAAATCCAGCTTTGATCACAGAAATAAATTACATTGTAACAGATATTCACATAGAAAGCAGTTATTTGAAATTGTAAAAATATTTCACAATATTACTGTTTTTACTGTATTTTTATTTTTTAAAAAGCAGCCTTGGTGAGCAGAAGAGTCTTAAAATTTACTTTAAATGTACAGTCTTTCTGTTCTGGGAAAATACTGCTGACATCTTCTTATTGGTAGGGGAGCATACATATATTTTGTCCAATAATATGTTCTTTAGAATATGTTCTCCCTCCCTGTCACTCTAGCATATAACAAAGTATGGCAAAGCATGAAAGAAAGTAGTTTGTCAGTCATTTCCTGGTCTTTAGGGCACTGGGTATTGATCATCTCCCAAAATGTTTATAGCCAGTTGTCTGACTAGTTCTTATATGACTCTGTGATTAACTCTCATCATTTTCCAACAGCAGACTTTCTAGTGATTTCTCCTTAATTCATATAGCAGACTTCCATTTGCAAAAGCTAGACCTTGAGCAGAAGTTTTCTTTGGTTCATGTTGTAAACACTACGCCGGAAGTCTATGTATTTTCTGCGTCTGTGCACTGATATCCAAACACATGCACAAAACAAACCGGCACAACACATGAGCACATGCATCAGCCGCTGGACTGAGATCTCTCTAATGCACATGCATCTGTGATAATGATAAACACACAGACATACAGGATAGAGTGGTTGTTTGATCAAGGCTGAATAATTGTGCTTTTGATGTTTTTAGTGCAAAAAGTGATGTTCTTCCTCAGTATTTTTCTCTTGTTTATTAAAACAAATATCTGAAATTCTTAATTCAAGATACATTTACTTGAAAAGCAAAGTGACTTAAGATATTAAGCATTGTTTTCTGAGAAACTGATCAAAATGAAGTGAGTTTATGCTTAAAACAAGAAAAAAAAACCTTATGTTGTTTTGCATCGAAATGTATCTTGATTTAAGAATGTTTCAATATTCGTACTGGAATACAAAAATACTAAGAAAATCACTTTTTGTAGTGATGGATTTTTAAAAGTGTGATACATGCAAAGGATTACGGGAGACTGGTAACAGATATTCACATAGAAAGCAGTTATTTGAAATTGTAAAAATATTTCACAATATTACTGTTTTTACTGTATTTTTATTTTTTAAAAAGCAGCCTTGGTGAGCAGAAGAGTCTTAAAATTTACTTTAAATGTACAGTCTTTCTGTTCTGGGAAAATACTGCTGACATCTTCTTATTGGTAGGGGAGCATACATATATTTTGTCCAATAATATGTTCTTTAGAATATGTTCTCCCTCCCTGTCACTCTAGCATATAACAAAGTATGGCAAAGCATGAAAGAAAGTAGTTTGTCAGTCATTTCCTGGTCTTTAGGGCACTGGGTATTGATCATCTCCCAAAATGTTTATAGCCAGTTGTCTGACTAGTTCTTATATGACTCTGTGATTAACTCTCATCATTTTCCAACAGCAGACTTTCTAGTGATTTCTCCTTAATTCATATAGCAGACTTCCATTTGCAAAAGCTAGACCTTGAGCAGAAGTTTTCTTTGGTTCATGTTGTAAACACTACGCCGGAAGTCTATGTATTTTCTGCGTCTGTGCACTGATATCCAAACACATGCACAAAACAAACCGGCACAACACATGAGCACATGCATCAGCCGCTGGACTGAGATCTCTCTAATGCACATGCATCTGTGATAATGATAAACACACAGACATACAGGATAGAGTGGTTGTTTGATCAAGGCTGAATAATTGTGCTTTTGATGTTTTTAGTGCAAAAAGTGATGTTCTTCCTCAGTATTTTTCTCTTGTTTATTAAAACAAATATCTGAAATTCTTAATTCAAGATACATTTACTTGAAAAGCAAAGTGACTTAAGATATTAAGCATTGTTTTCTGAGAAACTGATCAAAATTAAGTGAGTTTATGCTTAAAACAAGAAAAAAAACCTTATGTTGTTTTGCATCGAAATGTATCTTGATTTAAGAATATTTCAATATTCGTACTGGAATACAAAAATACTAAGAAAATCACTTTTTGTATTGTATAGTTTGTTAGGATATGACAATATTTGGTTTGAGATATAAATATTTGAAAATCTGGAATCTGAGGGTGCAAAAAAATCTAAATATTGAGAAAATCATCTTTAAAGTTGTCCAAATGAAGTTCTTACTGAAGATCATGTGACACTGAAGACTGGAGGAATGATGCTGAAAATTCAGCTGCGCATCACAGAAATAAAATAAAAGTTTTCAAATAGAAATCCAGTATTTTAAATTGTAATGTTTCACAATATTACAGTGTTTACGATATTTTTATATTTATTATAAAACTTATTTGTACTTTTTTCTGTTTTTAATCAATTTAATGCATTCTTTCGATTTTGTTTACAGAAATAGGTAGATTAAATTGACACCATTGAATTTAAGTCAGTTTCCGATGCAGAAAAAAAATTAATAAATAAGATAAGTATTTGTGACTTATTTCGCACTTCTGACTTTTTTTTCTTGCAACTCTAAGAAAAGTTAGAATTCAGATGTACACAAAAAGAAAAAAGTCGGAATTGTGAGAGAAAGTTTTAAAATTACCTTTATTATTATTATTATTCATGGTGGAAAAAAAACATAATTGCAAGATTTAAACTCAGAATTCTGAACTGAAAAGTCTGTGAAACTGTGAACTTGCATTTTTTATGTTTTTATTCTGTGGTGGAAACATGCTTCCATAATATACTGTACGTACTTTAGGCATTCAGAAAAAGTTTTTCTGCTGTATCACTGATTGTCTACTGAAAGTGCTCACAGAGCATCCTAAAGACGACCCGAGTGCCTGACCTCTGTCCTTTAAGGCAGTATTCTGTCCACGTACTGCGGTGTTCCTGTCATTTCCACGCTTCTCCTCCTCTTTCCATCATCTCTGGGTTTGATTGACACCCAACAGCCCTTCTGCGCCGATGACTTCAGCGTCTCTCTGCTGATCTGCCAGCTGCTGATGTCACGGCTCAGTTTCACGCTGGGATTTCCGCTCCGTTTAGCGGGATGAAGGACGCTGGCGGGTGAGACGGGTTATGGCCAGCCTGTGCATCCCACGGGAGCTGTCCCGCTGCTGGAGGGTTATTTGGGGAAGGGTCCAGTGCATCCATGGTTATGTCCCAGTTTACTTTCATAACCCACTAGAAGTTCGCTGGTGATGGTAAAGTTCACACTTCTGAGTTTGTGTTACATCAAAGGAGATGACAGCATTTGCAATGCTTGTGCTGTTTTACCCCATTTGTGTGCTTAGAGAGATTGTCTGGATATTCATTGTTTGTGTAACGGAAATCTGGCTTACCCGACCCTTGCCTGTTGTACGATTTTGATTCTAGATTCTCCCTCTGAACTTGATGTTTCTTTGTAAATATTTATTGTGAATATTATACATAGTTATTGGGAAAGTAAGGAGTCAGACGCCATCTATTGTTTTTGTAACGTTTGGATCTGTGTTCTTGGATTAGGTAGTTAGGTTAGAGAATTGTATTTTATTTTAGTTTCTTTACTTCGGATAGGTAATTTAGAGGGTTTAATATTAAGAACGTTTTGTTTATTAGTTTGGCACCGTCGGCTCCCGAAAGTGAATTCCCAAATAAATATTAAAAAAAGAAGTTGATTGTTCACGCTTGGGTTTTTTTGTTTTTGTTTCATGTTGCGCTCTACCCCTAGACGGGGCGTAACAATACTATAGACCCATTTAATCATGTAGCATGTAGCTAAATTGTTACTTTTAATTAATTATTATAGTTTATATTATAAATAATTTATTATTAATGTAATTAATATAAGATACATTAATATATAAATATATTAATTAATATAAGATACATACTTATTCTCTCTCTCTATATAATATATTTTAATTAATAATTATATATTATAATTTTACATGTTTAATTCATTATTTACATTTTTATTATGTATTATATTTAAATGTAATATAGATAAAATATATATTAATTAAATGCAGTAAATAATATAATAATTTAATTATACATGCATACAAACGCACATATATATATATAATATATTTAGCTTTATTAAATTAATCTAAATGCAACTGTTGTGAATATATATTCAATATGCTGGGCAAATCAGCTAATTAATATTCATGAGCCTATATTCTGCCCCCTTTAAAAACTTTTCAACTTATTCTCTCTCTCTCTTTCTGTGTCACTTCTATCTCTTTTGGTTTTCAGTGATAAGGGAACTATTAGTCAAATGTTCGCCCACATGCGTAGGAAAAGGAAGTTGCCTCTTCAACATCAAAGAGCCGTTGCACGCTGAAGGGACAGCTTCATGAACTCATGCACGTGTGTTATTTGAATGTGAAGCTGATGCTTTCCATTGGCTATTGCTGTATTCAGATAGAAGAAGAGTGGCTTCATTTGATTCCACTTTGTCAGTCACGTGTAGCAGATTGTGCATTATCAATCACACTTGTTGAATGCGTGTACATTAAATGTGCTTACATTTCTAAAACGATGCCATCATACTCTTGACAGGACTGAAATCACAAAATAAATATCCAGGAAACATTTGCTTGACCTCTGGGAAAACGAGTCTCATCGGCTGAGAGATTTACTGAGCAGATGCTGTGGTGGATCTGTCCCGTTTGCCTGTTTTACATCTGAATCTCTCTCTCTCTGTCTGTCTCTCTGCAGTCTCACCCGCTGTCTCTGTGTAACACCAGCGAAGATGACCGTCAGGAGACCATCTTCATCAGCATCGTCAAACTCGAGAGTCCAGAGAGCAAAGTGCCGCAGTGCCAGCCGCTGCTGGATAAAGTAAGACTGATGGGAAACTCACACACACACATATGAGCACTCTGTGATTTATTGAAGCTCACTTATAATGTTTGTCCAGGTTTTGTGCATCAGAAACACTCATAATGTTTTTTCTCTTAAACATTTTCTGGCAATGCTTGTGCTGTTTTACCCCATTTGTGTGCTTAGAGAGATTGTCTGGATATTCATTGTTTGTGTAACGGAAATCTGGCTTACCCGACCCTTGCCTGTTGTACGATTTTGATTCTAGATTCTCCCTCTGAACTTGATGTTTCTTTGTAAATATTTATTGTGAATATTATACATAGTTATTGGGAAAGTAAGGAGTCAGACGCCATCTTTTGTTTTTGTAACGTTTGGATCTGTGTTCTTGGATTAGGTAGTTAGGTTAGAGAATTGTATTTTATTTTAGTTTCTTTACTTCGGATAGGTAATTTAGAGGGTTTAATATTAAGAACGTTTTGTTTATTAGTTTGGCACCGTCGGCTCCCGAAAGTGAATTCCCAAATAAATATTAAAAAAAGAAGTTGATTGTTCACGCTTGGGTTTTTTTGTTTTTGTTTCATGTTGCGCTCTACCCCTAGACGGGGCGTAACAATACTATAGACCCATTTAATCATGTAGCATGTAGCTAAATTGTTACTTTTAATTAATTATTATAGTTTATATTATAAATAATTTATTATTAATGTAATTAATATAAGATACATTAATATATAAATATATTAATTAATATAAGATACATACTTATTCTCTCTCTCTATATAATATATTTTAATTAATAATTATATATTATAATTTTACATGTTTAATTCATTATTTACATTTTTATTATGTATTATATTTAAATGTAATATAGATAAAATATATATTAATTAAATGCAGTAAATAATATAATAATTTAATTATACATGCATACAAACGCACATATATATATATAATATATTTAGCTTTATTAAATTAATCTAAATGCAACTGTTGTGAATATATATTCAATATGCTGGGCAAATCAGCTAATTAATATTCATGAGCCTATATTCTGCCCCCTTTAAAAACTTTTCAACTTATTCTCTCTCTCTCTTTCTGTGTCACTTCTATCTCTTTTGGTTTTCAGTGATAAGGGAACTATTAGTCAAATGTTCGCCCACATGCGTAGGAAAAGGAAGTTGCCTCTTCAACATCAAAGAGCCGTTGCACGCTGAAGGGACAGCTTCATGAACTCATGCACGTGTGTTATTTGAATGTGAAGCTGATGCTTTCCATTGGCTATTGCTGTATTCAGATAGAAGAAGAGTGGCTTCATTTGATTCCACTTTGTCAGTCACGTGTAGCAGATTGTGCATTATCAATCACACTTGTTGAATGCGTGTACATTAAATGTGCTTACATTTCTAAAACGATGCCATCATACACTTGACAGGACTGAAATCACAAAATAAATATCCAGGAAACATTTGCTTGACCTCTGGGAAAACGAGTCTCATCGGCTGAGAGATTTACTGAGCAGATGCTGTGGTGGATCTGTCCCGTTTGCCTGTTTTACATCTGAATCTCTCTCTCTCTGTCTGTCTCTCTGCAGTCTCACCCGCTGTCTCTGTGTAACACCAGCGAAGATGACCGTCAGGAGACCATCTTCATCAGCATCGTCAAACTCGAGAGTCCAGAGAGCAAAGTGCCGCAGTGCCAGCCGCTGCTGGATAAAGTAAGACTGATGGGAAACTCACACACACACATATGAGCACTCTGTGATTTATTGAAGCTCACTTATAATGTTTGTCCAGGTTTTGTGCATCAGAAACACTCATAATGTTTTTTCTCTTAAACATTTTCTGACCCTTGAATGAAACGGGCTGTTTGAGTCTTGTATTGTATATGTAAATGAGCTCTGCTGTGATTGGCTGCAGGTCAAGTTGCTGTCATTTAATATGTAAATGTGGGAGTTGTGTGTCAATCGGTGTTATTTTAGTGTTATGTACTATTATAGTATTCTTTTTTTTAAAGAATTTAAGATTTTAGTTTTCATTGTAATTTTAGTTTATTTTATGTGCTTTTAATATTTTTATTAGTCTTAGTTTTTAAATATTTCTATTTCAGTTTTAGTCATTTTAGCACTTCACGTGTAAGTGTTTCATCTTATTTATTTAATTGCAATTAATGAAAACAATTTTAATAGTCTTCATTTTAGTTAAAAGTAACAACACTGATGTTAATCTGCTTATGATTGTGATTGTCATAATTCTTCAAATGTTTTTGCAGCTTTGTTGTTTTAGTATTATTTATATACTACTATATAGTACTATTATAGTATAGTTAGCATTTGTTTTCATGTTTTCACTTTTCATTTTAATTGTAGGTTAGGTAATTTTATTATGTGCTTTTGTTATTTGTTAGTTTTTTATTTCTATTTAGCGTTCATTTATATCTGATTTAGTTTTAGTAATTTTAGTACTTCAAGGTAAACGTATTATTCATTATTATTAAGTTTTTCATATAATATTTCAATTTATTTCAACGAAAACATTTTAATAGTTTTAGATTTAGTTAACAATAACAACACTGATGTTAATAAGCTTATGATTATGACATCACAATTCTGAACAATGCTTTTGCAACTTAAACCTGAGTTAATCAGTGTTATTTTAATATAATTTATATACTTTATATTATTTATTAATAATATATTCGCATTTATTTTTATATTTTCAGTTTTCGTCTTAGTTGTACTTTGTATAAGTAATTTTGTTGTTCTTTTATTTGTATTGTTTTTTTAGTTCTGTTTAATTTTAATACCGATTATCGATTTTATACCGATTTTAGCTTTAGCAAATTTTAGTTCTTCAACTTCAACTTTATTTTATTTCATTTAGCTGTCAAGGCAACATTTCTCATTTTTATTGATTGATTTTTAATTTTTTTAAGTGCAAGTTTTTCCTCTGTTTATTTTATTCAGCTTTATTTTAGTTAACAAAAATGCTTTCCAATAGTTTTGCAAAAATGCTTTCCAATAGTTTTAGTTAATGAGCTTATGGTTGTGATGTTATAATTTTGAACGAGATGTTTTTTTGTTTTTTATTTTGGGTCCAAAACTCTTAAGCAGTTTGTTATTGCAAGTATTTACAACTCTACCCCTGCAGTGTGGGATAAACTTGTAGTGTACTTGTGTAGGATATGTTTCTGATCTAAGTTTCAGTAAGTTGTCTGGATGGAGCTTGTGTTGTGAATTTATGAGTATGTGATGTGAGACAGAGAGAGGCAGATCGCTGGCCTCCTCAGAGCCTCATGCACTCGTGGCACAGCTAAAATTAGCTGGACGAGTGAGCAGGTCAGCAGTGTGAGGGAGTCTGTGAAAGTGCAGGAGGTGCAGGACACACCAGCAGGAGGCTCTGAGCTTTGGGCCGTTTCCTCAGGACTCTGGCGCTGGATGTGAGAGATGTCAGATGCTGCTGTCACACACTGAAAACCTCAAACCGTCTGTTCCAAACTCGACTGCGCTGCTTCTGCAGAATTCACTATTGAAGAATCGACTCCTTTTCAGTGAGAATTTGAATTCAGTTGGCCAGAACACAAAGAATTTGAATTGGAATGACAGGCAGCAGAATTTGTCTGTCTGTCTATCGTTCTATCTATCGTTTGATCTATCTATCTGGTATGGGCAGGCGTATGTTATGGACATTGAAATTTGCCATTTTTCATCCTGTTTGCTGCCTCATGTCTAGACCTGATGTGTGGGGTTTTTATAACTGAATCTCTTTTCTATTGAAACTTTCAGTACTGAATGAAATATATTTAAATTGACATTTCCCTCGGCTTATCCACTAAGGATTCATATGATGTTGCCTCTCATTTTGACCCAGTGGAGGTTTGTGAGTTCTCTAGTGATGTTGCTAAATGTTGTCTAGGTAGGCAGCTGACGGTTCAGATCAGAGCTGAAGGGATTTTCAGGGTTTAATATGGTTCTGCATGTGAACGTCATGCCGTCTGCACCAATCACACACAACCAGACAGTCTCAAGTTAATCAGAGTTAATAACCCGTCTGAGAAAACCGCACACAGTCCTGCTTCCATTCTTCGCTTTTAGCGCCTATTTATGCCTCTTTCTTGGTAGCCACGTTGGCCTGGACAGATTACTGCTGCGGATCCAGCTTTGTTTAGTGAACATCTGAAGGACTCTTAAGAAAACAAAGCCTTGTATTCCAGTGGTTCTGGATGGGCTCTCAGTAAGCTGGCGGTATAAATACCCTGAAGACCAGGCTGAAGTGAGGGGTTTTGGTTGTCTGATGGTTGTGAATGTTTAGTTTGTGTGTACACACATCATCTCACTGTTTACATCATATCGTGTTTCCCAACAGTGCAGCAGTCTTATTTCATTCTTTGAGATGCTATTATAGTTTTTATTCATAATTACCGTATTGGCCCGAATATAAGACGACCCTGATTATAAGATGACCCCCCTTTTTCCAGATGTACCTTTTGGAAAAAGGCTTTTAAAAAATTTTGTTTGTTTTTTCGCAGTAAAACACATTTTGTCTTCAATTATTTTCATATTGCATATTTTTCCTATTTTAATTGTTGTTTTGAAAGTATGGTTAAAAACTGGTAAAATGTACCAACAATCACATTTAAAAAATATACACTTTTTGATATACCATTAAAAAAAAAAAACAGGTAGCCCATCTGAATTAGGACATTTAGGCTATCCATCTAACAGTAGCCTACCAACATAGTCTTCAAATCTGGGTACTGTCTTACGTTTTAAAATCACAAAGAGAGTTTGGTCCCATCAGGCTAACGTGACGGTCACGACTCATGCAGCTGTAAGCTTTTCTTATTCTTTTATTTTTACTCGCAATCTTTACAACACACATTACATTATGTATTTCATGGCACACCTGTTTTATGCGTATTTGGCGCCACCTATTGTTGTGGGTGTATTATTGACATGTCAAAGTCTAGTCCCTGAATATAAGACGACCGCGTTTTTAGTGACGTGACATGACATGTGGCCAAGTATGGTGACCCATACTCGGAATTAGTGC